TACGGGCTGTGGACTTATCCCGGAAACCCTTTCACGTTCTCTCAAGGTCTGGTGGGAACTGGTAGCACGGAGGGAACGCCGCGCTGGGCCACACAACACGACACGGTAAGTGCAACAGACCTGCCTTGGGGGACACGGCTCCCGACCAAAGAAGCAACTGCTGGGGCTTGAAGGTGTCAGTTAGCAACAGAAATTCTCTTTAAAAAGTACCAGTTTCAATGTAAACTCTAAAACACTTTAAGTATAAAAGGTAGCCAGACATATGATGGATCCACAGTCGATTATTTAGTGTCCACATTTAAAACGTGACTCTCTTGACGTCTTAGAAGGCTGACAGCATTTTACAGTAGCTAAAAACATATATATACTTAACATGTGCATTGAGGGTCACATTTGATTACTATGCACAAAGAATCATCTCTTCCTTGGTTTAACTTTTTGTTGTAAAGATGAGCCATTTTCAGAATTCACATACACAACAAGGACCAGGGTGTGCGTTCATCATTTTTGGCTCCCACAGAGTTCGTGGTCTTTTAAATCCCAAGATCAAGCTGGCTACTCGATGTCAAAAAAGGCTAAAACCAGGATGAATGCCCACCTTTGAGGTAATTATTGCCGTAGGATCACAGTTTGAGTAAGATGATGCATCTACAACCTTCTTCACACAATCTTCAGGCACTGTCAGAATCCCACCTACCTAGTCCGCCCGGGATCTCAAATTCCGATGAGCTGGGTTTGCTCCCCATGGAGTTCAAGTTCTAGATGACCCTAAAACTTGTGTGAATGACCTAAGAATTTAGGCCAACAAGCCCAGAGCCAGGGAAGAAAGACGCTTTTAAAATAAAAAGAAACCAGAAGAACCCTACCCCAAACCACCGAGATGTTTCATTTAACAAGTGATGAGTTTAAAAAAAAAAAAAAAATCTAGCCCTAGAGCTTGTTGTCATCTTTCAATCACGGTTGAAGCACTGAGTTTCTACCCATCTCAGACCTCGGCAAGAGGCTGCCTCTTCTCCCTCCCGTCCAAAAAGAGCTGGCCAGTTGCCCTCGGTTTCCACACCGTTGCTCTCCGTGTCTGGAGAAGGCTATCTCAAAAGAAAACTGGATTTTGCTCTTCTTTCGAAAAATCAGCTTGTCTTTCTCCTTCTATTTTTTGTTTTTGTTTTACACAAAGAGACAGTGTTGTGGATGCCAGACCCACACATGGTATTTACAGACTGGCTGGCTGGAGCCACGTTGGGTTCCTCTGAAGTGTGAGTGGATCGATCGATTACAGAGACCAGAGTTGCCATCAGTGTGGTCAAAAATAGCATTTGGAAAAAAATATATATCTTGAGTATTGCCTTTCTAGAATTAACTATAAGAAAAACTTATTTTTTTAAAGAAGAACACCTTTTTTTCTCTTTACTCCCATAAGAGCTTCTGGTGGCAGCAGTACGGAAATAGTTGGTACGCTAGAAAGGAAGAGCAAATGAATTCTACTGGGAATCAAGAGCGACACCCCTGCACTGTCCTCTAAAGTCAAACTAACTCTCGCCCCTCTGCTTGCACGCAACCTGGGCCTCCCTCTCCACACGCAGGCGGGGACGGTGTGGGGGACATTCCTCCAAGGCCTTTCTTTGCACTTATGCATGTGAGACACTGAGGTTAGTGGCTGTGAGCTCCGTCCTGGAGGCGGGCAGACGCCGGCTCAAGGTCGAGCTCCCTCCTAGACTGGTGACCCTGGGCGTGCTGCCAGCTCTCCCGGCCGGTGACCTCATCTGTGAAGGGACTAATATTGCTGATGTCACGGGCGACTACGAAGGCGAAGTCAGACCAGCTCACCTACGAGCGACGTCCAGCCCAGTGTCTGGCACTCGGTCAATGGGAGCATCGTGAAGCGGTCGGTCAGGAACGGGGAGGCCGTTCACTGCTGTTAATGAAAAAGGCAAAACAAAGCCCTACCTCAGTCGAGCCCTCCTTAACAGAAAGTTTCACTAGAAATGTGGAGATTTCAGACCATTACATTTTCTTTCCTTTAGCACATGGTGCTTCCCGCCTTAGAATGTCACCTTTGTCGTCAGTAAACGGGGTTGGGGGGTGGTGTACATGGGGTGGCCATGTGGGCCCCATGAGTTCAAGGCGTGGCCCGGGACCTGGCATATGAAAAGCATTCAACGAATGTGGCCTATTATTCACTCGAGGGATATTGCAAGTTTTAAGAAATGAGATAGTCATCATAATGTTCTAATGCAGGGTCTGAGATTAGGGGCTGTCGAAGGCTTGGGGCAGTGGCACTGGGCAGACTCAGGAAGACCCCTCTGTGGCAGCTCTCACTGAGCCTCAAGGGAAGAGATGTTCTGGAGCTGGCTCTTTCCAGCGTCTGGAAGCTGCCGGAAAGCCTCCACGGGGCTGGGCTACACTCGTGAGCAGTGGCGCCAATGGCCTTGGAAAGGTTTCTGTTGTGTTTAAATGTCACTTCACCATCTTCAATTCTCTGGTAGCTCGACTGAGATTTGATGGACTGGTCTGTGGAGATTAGAAGTGAGAGTCCAAAGGCATCAAAGTGGAAAAGTATGGATTTCCCGAGCCCCACTCCGGCGCCCCATCAAAACCCCCGGTGCAGCTGAACCTCCGGCAGGCCGCTGGGCCAGACCCGTGGCGGGGGCACTGGTCCAGCTCACGTATCTGTGCGGTGTCTCCGGTCCCCAAATAGCAGCAGCATTAGGGTTCCTAATCTCTACTTCTCTTAAAAGATGAGTACAGTTTCGAAATAAATGTAACTAAAACATAAAAGGGTAAGAGGAAAGAGAAAGACAAATGCGGTTGCATCACTAATGATGTCATTATTGCCCAGAAAGGAAAGACAGCAATGCCCTTGTGTCGGTATTTGGAGGTGTCTTTGCGAAGGGTTCTTTGGCTAAAAAAAGGACCAGTTTCACCTTGCTCTCCCGTTTGGTAAGGACATCTCTGGCCCACTCCATCGGAAGGCTCCCCGTCTGCACTCTGGACGATGCACCAGGAAGAAGAGACACGGAGTGGGCGAGAAGCACGCTAAGTCCCCCGGCGGGGCACGTTTTCCTGGCACAATCTCTCAGGCTCCCACTGTGAAGTCCCAGGCTAGACCTGCGGAAGGAAACCTTGCCTCTCTGTTGAATTTTCTCTGCTACTCAGGGCACCTGGCAGCCACTGGGCAGGCAGGAGCTCTGCGCGCCTCCCCGCCCCCAGCACCACACAGGGAGTCCGGGTGAGAGCCGAGGCCGGCGAGGGCACTCCGCATTTCATCCACCGAAGCCCATCCGTAACAGCTCCTTAAGCCTCCTCGTCTCCTTCCTCCAGTTTCCAAGAAAAGTCTGCTCCACTCACTCACTCACGCTCACACACCCCAATTCCTCCACCACAAGCTTGTTCAGAAATGAGCGTTTGCAATTCTAAAGGTCTGGTCGAGGGAAAGCAGCCTGGGAGCCTCGGGACCGAGCCTGCCTTCCCTCCTCACACCCGGCAGCCTGGGGTCCGGGCACGGCGTCTCCGGGGGTGGAGGGGACCCGCCTGCTGGCTCCCACAGCCGGCAGGCCCCTCCCGGCCAGAGCGCAGGCCCAGCCCAGGAGACCACTGCCGCCTCGCCCCAACCCTTCTTTTCCCTCTGAATTCGATCAACCACATGCTCTTCCACAAAAGTAATTGGCATCAAGCCTCAGACTCTCCCACCCATTGGCCTGCTCACCCCTTCCCTTGGAAACAGTCAAATCCTCACGAGAGAGGCTCCAAGCAGAGACACAGGCACACGCGTGCAGGCAGGCCAGCGAGGACGGTTGGAGCAGAAGCGCATGGCTCCCCGGCCTGTCCTCTGGACTTGCCCCTCACTCTAAAGCCATCTCTTCAGCAAACAGGGATGGAGCCAATTGTAGCACAGGGGATGCTCTAGGTCATCCGAGGTCTAAATAGGACTAGGCAGGCATCCCCCCACTTGGGAGCTGGGTCCTAGGGACGGGCAGCCCCATGTTCGCCCTATTTGCCAGGGTGACTCAGAGTGGGCGGGGGTGGGGCAGGATGGGAGGTGGGGCAGTGCTAACAGCCCCTGCCGAGGCTGGCCTCGCCCATGGGGAGGGGGAGGGGAGGCTCTGACCCCACAGCTCCCTCCTGGGGAGGAACGAGAACGGCAGGCCAGGGCCAGGGGGTGCACACTGATGTTTGCTGAGGGTCTGCGGGACTGGCCCTGCCCAGCCTCTCCCAGCTGCCTCCCCTCCCACGAAGTCGGCCATTTCAGCCTTTTCTCCATTTGGGGCCCACCGGGTCTAGGCAGCCGCTGGGCTATGCCAGGGTCCACTGGCCTCCTACTCTCTCCCTCCGCCTTTTTTGGGCTCACTAGTTTGTCCCAAGAATTGCGAGCTATGAAGATGAACTAGAGGGGAAGGGGGAGACCAAAGAAGTGGTTAGTGAGTGGGAGGGGGTGGATGAGGCTGAAATTTCCCTGGGGGAAGGTCCTGCCTGCCTAGCAGTCCTACCTCATCATCTGGGAAGGGACAACGGTCTCTGCAGTGAAGGACATCGGCCACACTCCTGGGGCTCAGATGGGAAACCATAGAACATTTGGGAGAGGGGCTGGGTCAGCAGCTGGGCAGGTAAGGAGCAGGCGTGAGGCAGGCCCATAGATCTAGTGAGATTTCAGAAGGACAGGGAATGGGGCGGAGGGCCCTGGCTCTGGCTGCAGCCCGGGAGACGCCTGCTTACGCCTCTCCCAGGCCACTGGAAACCCGGGCAGACACAGCACAGCGGTGACCTGCTGCCAAGGGCCCCCTCTGGCCTGTGCGGAGCAAAGGAACCTGATTCTTCCAACTCGAATTCCATGGGCGACCTTTCCCGACAGCTCGCTGTGGGATGGAGACGACGGAAATGGGTTTCCCGGTTCTTTCTCATCCTTTTTGTCTGGCAAAACCGGACATCTGCGTGTCCCTCCTGTCTACTCACACACTCACAGATACAATAAGATAAGTTTAAATATTAAAGAGAAAACACAAAGATACGTGGAATAAATGTGCATTTCAAACCCCAACTAAAATATCAACACGACGATAATCATGATAACAATTACAATGCTAATAATAAAAAATAATTAGTACAATAACATTATCTTTATGAGCAGCATGGAACTTTCATTCCTGGTCTGGAAGAAAAGGAAAGGAAATAGGTTGAAGCAGTCAGAGACTCCGACTTAGTAGACAAAATCATTCGCTTGAACTTGGAAGGCTGTTCAAGTTCGGATGGAGAAAGGGCTGGGAGTCAACTGTGTGTGGGGCCCCAGGATGCCACCAGTAAGGCAATGGGAGGCTTGTGTCACTGGGCTCGGGACCTGGTGCGGATACTGCTGCCCCCTGGCTGCAGAGGTCTGGTCTTCCAGGCTGGCGCACCCCTGGGAGGGCACTGGCTGCCACGGCCTCCAGACTCTGCCCCTGCCAACCCTCTCTGGACTGGCTGACTTCCTCTCCTCTCCTCTCAGAATGACAGCACCGTCCCGCTGGCTGCCTGGGGGGCTGTCCTGGCTCAAAAGGGTTGTGGCGTCCTTCCTTCCAGCCGAAGGCCTGGGCTAAACTGGTTCCAGTTCGGGGACCTAGTCCTTTGTAAGGTAAGTAGCATGTATGGTCGGGGAGGGGAGATGTCCAGAGTTATTTCACAATTCACAGCTAAGAGCTAAGGTAACGGTTTGGCTTCCTCACCTTTCACAGTAGATCGTTAAGGGGGGGGGGGGCTGTAGGGTGGGGAAGGGGGAGGGGAAGACTAGGACGCACTGCCGACTTGCACCTTGGAAATTTGGCTTTGGGGTTACCTAAGGACTCAGCACAGAGAACCAAGCAAGGGGGACCCCCTTTAAAGCCACATCTCCCAGCCTTCATGTGTGTGTGCTGCTGTGAATGGAGAGACCCCCACCCCCACCCCACGAGCAGCAGGTTCAAAGCCTGAGAAAACCTCCAGAACATTTCACAGGTGCAAAGAGGGCGAAGGGCACATTTCTTTGGAAACCTAACTGGTGGTGGGAGTGTTTTCCAAGGGGCAGTGTGAGGACCCTCGGTCACCCTCGTGAACGTCCTTCTCGCCTTCTGCCCATCGGACCCTCAAAACTCAAAACGAAGTGTGTCATGGGGAGGCCCGGGTAACATGAAGAAAAGGCTTTGGCGGACACAGGTGGACGGTTGTCTGCAGACGGCAGGACGCGAGAACGCGCGCAGACAGGGAACCAAGGAGGGGGACAGTGCTGAGAGCGCGCAGGGTGTCCGGCTGGGACCCGGCCCGGTCTCTGCCGGCCCTTCCGCAAGGAAGGAGGCAGGCGCCTGGCGAGGCCAGCGTTCCTGAAACATAGAGGGGACATCGGGTCCAGCAGACCCGGCCGGCTGTGGCAGCCGGCCACACAGGTAGAACTGGGGGCAGCATGGGGCTCAGCACAGGGTGCAGGGTGGGGAGTCTCTCTTGCTCTATCTCCAAATGAAAGTCAACTAAACCCACCCCCACCACCGGGTTCACCCCCGCCATCCATCCCACGCTTCTCTCAACACCTGTGCCGGCTCCCCGACACCCCTCTGCCAGCAAACAGCCTAGAAAGACAGCAAGTATAAAAATGATATTAAATTAAAACAAAATTTTTTTTTTAAAAGGAAAGACCAGAGTAAAACGTCTCAGCAGCACGAAAGAAGAGCTGAGACGCTGACTCGCCTCCGCCAGCTTCTCGGAATTCCGTGGAAGCGACCCTCGCACGCGTCTGTCGTCGGTAAGGCACTAGGAGGGAATGATGTCAAGTCGAGGCAGCGGGAGCTGTGCGGGCAGCGAGCCCGGGCACGCGGGCAGGGCGCGGCCGCACGTGCACCCGCACGCACACGCTCGCGCATGCGCACCTGCACACTCGCGCACGCTCACACGCCTGGACCACCACGTTGCTCGCATGCCTGTGTCATATCATTATTTCTTTTTGTGCAATCACACTGAGGAATAGTCTATTGGTATCACTGGAGCTGAACACAAAGCGGAAAACTGGGGGGGCGGAGCGCTACATTCCTCTAGGGGGTCGGCGACGGCCCCCAGCCCTAGGCTACGTGACTAGGGACGGATTCAAAGAGAAAACAAATCTTCACAAAAGAAAAAGAACTAAAGTTCGCAATACACATCATTAACGACAGCTGAGGAGTAACATTGCTTAGGGATTTATCCAGAGTGCTCAGAAAGAGAAAATATGCCCCTCCGGGAGGCGACTCACTTCCGCCTGGCCCCCAACGCCCCCATCAGTCCTGACGCACGAGCCAGAACCAGGCTCTGCCGACCCCAGACATCAGCTTCCGCAGGCCGTGGCCTGAACTTCGAGGGCTGTTGACCCTTTAGAGTTCTGGAAAAATCCCTAATTCTTATGTTCAATAATTAAAAATCTATTGGATTTCCGTATCAGGCGTCCCCCGACAGCAAACTCTCAAATGTCACTTGCTGCCATATGAAAATAATCTTTGAAAAGTTCGTAGAGGAAGTTCTTCAGAAACTGGGGCCCCTCGACTTCCGGAATCTTCCATCGCTCTCTCCTCTTCCTCCTTTCCAGTTTGGTGCAGAACGGGTTTGTGAGCTGTATTTCCGTTACTGGCATTTTTTTCCTTTTTCTTTTTTTAAAATAAAAAGCATAAATCCCACCCCCCCCATCCTGAATCCCTTCATTTTTTAAAATGTTCTCTTCTCTGCTCTGAGTCCTCCCACTTCCTAGTTCAAGTTTCACCGGTGTCCGGCCCCTGCCCCCCCGGCCCCCTCCCCTGCTCCATTTGCATTGTTTCTGTGCGGCATCTTCAGTATAAAAACCCCAGCTCCCCCAGGTCCTGCCTCCTCTCCCTCCTCCCCTCGGCCATGCCCCCCTCCCCTCCCCTTCCAGTGTTTATATGTAAGGGTACTGGTTGACCTTGGCGGGGCTCAGTGGGTATCCAGTGTAGACGGTGGAGGCCGGAGAGGCGCTGATGTAGGTCTGATGGGCGAACTGGGCCGGGTACTGACTCGGGTGGATGGTGGGTGAGGGCAGGACCCGGGGGCCCATGCTCACGGGCACCTGGTGGACGATGCTGGCCGGGTAGGCAGTGTGCTGCACCGTGTGACGCGCTGAGCCTTGGGAGGCCACCAGGTGGGCCACGGTGCCGGTGGAGCCCAGGGCCGCGGGCGCCGTGTAGGTATAGAGGTGGGGCTGGGTGGGAAGGTGGGCCGCGGCGGCCAGGTGGGGGTGCACAGTGCCGTGGCTGGGGCTGTTGTGCGGGAAGGAGTACGGGGCCTGGGCCATCGTGGGAGTGATGTAGGCCTGCTGCCGTCGGTGGCTCCCCGCGCGGTCTGTGCTGATGTGCTGTTGAGCCTGGACAAGAGAAGCACCAGGAGAGGGCCGCACTGGGGGCGGGGCCTCAGGGGGGGAGGGCCTCAGGGGGAGGGGCGGGAAGAGGGGGAAGTGAGTCTGGGGAGGACAGGGAGGAGAAGGGAAGATGGGGAGAGAGAGGAAAGGAGAACGGGGTGGAGGGAGGGAAGCAGGAGGAGGCCCGAAGCTGGGGGACTGACGGAAGTTGTCTCCGGTGGCCCCCAGTGGATGACACACTGACAAAGCCGCCACAGTGGGCAGGAGACAGTGCCTCTTCCCAACGCCGCGCTGCAGCTGGGAAGCGGCAGAGGAGCCCCTGTTGGAGAGCCCCTGGCTTCTCCCTCACTGTGAAACCATGTCTCCAAAACCAAGGCCCTTGGAAACTCTGCGTAGGTACACGCAGACCAGGCCTCTTTTTTCTCCAGGACAACCCGAGTCCCGGGACGGAGGCACAGCCGCGGTTTACAACCCAGGGGGCAGTCCTTCACACAAGGGGCTTCTGAGCACAACCCGCCCACTTACCCCACCTCTGTGGCTTCCAAGGAAACTGTAGACCTGAGCTGACACAGGCCGGCCCCTGCCCTCAGAGACCCTGCTGTACCTACATGCCCTTCCCCTGCACCTCTGCTCCTCCCCTTGGTCTGGGGCTTTGGGGGGTGGGTTTCTGCACAGTAAGGCATCACTGAAGCTGACTCTGTCCAGCCGCAGGTCTGTCCCTGGTGTCCTGGCTCACTGGGCCAGGACGCAGTGTTTCACGCAGCACTGGGCTGAACTGGCAAGCTATAGGCCATGCTGATCTAAGCTCCGGCACAGGCCACTCAGTGCCCCGAAACTTCAGACAAGTCCCTTCATGTTGGGCCGGCTCTCTGTGGAGCAAGGACACGGACTTCCCCAAGGGTGACCGTGGAGGAAAGAAAACCCCAGAGGTTACGCAGGGCACTTCCTGCCACCGCCAGAGGGGCTGCAGCTCTGTGACGCGGGCCGAGGCCCACCCTCTCGGCAGAGCAAGGGTGGGGGGAGCGGGTGAGAGGGCCCGGGGGGCTTACCTGGCTGAGGTTGAGAGGCTGCTGCTGCTGGAAGTGTGGTGCCGGCCGGTGCTGCCGGTAGGCGACAGCTCCGGAGGAGCTCCCTGAAGAATGACCGCTGGTGGAGGTCACGTTGCTGGAGGACTTGGACTTGTAGGAGGACGAGTGGTGGCTGGCGCTGACTGTGCCGGGAGGGAAGCAGGGCACAGGTCAGACACTGCCACCTCTCCGGGGCCAGCTGATCACAAGCCACCTCCGTACCCCAGACCCCAGCAGGGCTGGGCCCGGGTCCCGGTAGTTCCGGCTCCGGCCCCACCTTGCGCCCAACTGCAGAATTCTCCCTCAGCCCCACTAAAGCCTTGCAGAGCCCATTCTGTCGTTTTCCGAAAGAACCTTCACTAACCCCAGAGACTTGAGATTTCACTACATGAGAAATCCTCCAGAATCCTTCCTGGGCTGCACACCACGGAAGGGGGGGACGCCCCGTGGGAAGTGGACGGCCACCTGCGCAGTGTCAGTCCTGCTGGGGGCACGTGTTGGCAGCTCCAGCCCCGAGGCTCCTACAGGCTGAGCTGGCACCAGGGGCGAAGGAAGGAGGCTTTCCAGACTCCGAGTCTTCTGAGCCTAGGGGGACTTTGCGGCCAAGGGCACGCACTTATTAGCATTGAGAAAGGCCTCGGGCTGTGGACGGGCAGGTGGGCAGCAGAACGAAGCCCTTCTCGCCCCTCCTGTTGCTAGAAAGGCTGTCCTCACGGGAAAAATGGGTCTCTACAGAGAAAATGAAGAAGCCACTGGGTTTCCCAGAGACAGTGGCCCTGGTTGCTTTCCACGTGTCAGATGAGACAAATCTGCAGCCTTGGGTTTTGACAAAGGTATTTAACGCATTTAAATAACGATGCAACACGCAACGTGACAGAAATGACACCCTTTGCAGACACTTAAACTGGGAAATGCACGGTGGGTAGAGTCACGAACCATCGCTTGATAAATATGGGGGCACAGAAGTAGGAGCACCACTGCTCCGGGAGGTGTCTCCTGGGGAAGCCGCTGTCCAGTGTTGCCTCCTGCCCAGGTCTCCACAGAAACACTTGCCAACACAGAGCAAGCGGGTTTGGGGAGACAGAAGTCCTCTGTCCCACACGGTGCAGAATGACCCGGGGCACTGGGCTGGACAAGCTCCCGAACACCCGTCCTGAATGCCACTCTCGGCCCTGAGGCCGCCCTGGGGGCAGTACCTGAACCGCTCATGCCCAGTGAGCCCTACAGGTGGCAACCACCCCAAGAAGGTTCCCAGGTCTCCTGGGACAGCCTCAGGTGACAGTGGACGAATGAGTAACAGCTGATGAATGATAGCTGCTGATGTCCAAACAAAATCTTTCTAGCACTTCACATCCCTTTCCTTCTAAATGGGTTGGACGAGATGTAGGGTGGTGGTGGTTTGTGGCAGAAAAGCGAACACGCATGTTTCTGCTGCTTTATTCCCCAAATTCTCCCACTGGCAAGCCTGAGCCAGGAAGACTCTGAACAGATGCTACCAGATCTGGGGTGAGGTGCTACGTGTGCCTAGAAGGCTAAGTTCTCAGCCTTCCTTTGGGGCCCTGTTTTCAGGACGAGCCTTCACGGGATGGAAGGAATCCTTCTAATCAAGCAACGTGTGAGGGACAAACACACTGGCCACGCCCTCTCCTCCCAGTGGTGACTTCCGAGGAGACTCAGAGAAGGTTCTGTCCGCTCAGGCAGCCCCGTCCCCCGGAGGGACCGATGCCAGCACTCGGGGAGGGGGGGGTCCCCACACCATGTGTCAATCAGACTGGCGGACAAGGAACTGGGTGGCTCTTAGTTTTATTTACCAACCACATCAGAGGCAGAGCCACTATAAAGGCAGCGAGGTGTTAGCTACAGATTTTAATAATGAAAATGCTGCTTCTACAGAGCGACGTTTAGCAAATTCCTCTCTTCGCTACTGGGACAGAATCCGCAATAACCTGGCACTTGTCCACTCACGCAACCAAACCGCTAGAGCCCAAAACAAGGACGACTCTCTAGAGAGATCCTGGCCTGCTGCGTCCCCACCTTACCTGGCACCAGACTGTCACATTCCACCAACACTTCGCTGGCCTGGGTTTTCAGGGGTGGCACGATGATGGTCCGGGGGTTCCCCGTGCAGTGGGTCTCCAGACTCCCCTTGGTGTCGAAGGCGTTGGCGTTGTGCCCGGTGCGGTGCTGCACGGCGTAGGGGCTGGTGTTGCTGGAGGAGTCGGAGTAGGGGGAGTCGTGCACCGTGACGCAGCTGATGACGTTCTTCCTCTGCTTGGAGACAGTGCTGGAGAGGAGCAGGGACACGTCAGGAGTGTGAGCAGTGACACGTCGAACCGGCCGCTCGGAACGGGCTGTGGGCAAAGCCCCTCTCTGTGCCCCAGGGGGAGCCGATGAGAGTGGAGCAGGAGAAGCGAATTCTACTTTCTGGAACCCTCGTGGGCAGGCAGGGTGCCCGAGGGTCACCCGCCTAACTGGCAGAGGGGGCATATGAACTTGAGAAAGGGCTGCAGGCGGGCCCACAGGTGCTTCTGGAAACTGGGGAGAAGCTTTGCGTGGGGCTGGGCTCTCCCTGGGTGGCAGTGCACCCTGAGCCCCTGGAGGGGGACCTCTCGGCAAAGAGGGAGTCCAGAAACACCCGGGCCACCAGAGGCCCTGTTACAGGAGGACACTCGGGAAGAGGGGGGAGCATAGCTTAGACTCAGGGCCTGAAGCTGCAGCAAACTTGGGCAGGGGGGATTGGGATACCCAGGAGGAACCCGGATGCAGAGAGAGAGACAGACAGACAGACAGACAGACACAAACAGTGAGGTCCTGGGGAGGCGGCCCCACAACACAGCCCCCCACCCCCCAAGTGCTGAGCGAGCGAGCTCAGAGCCAGACTGGGCACCAGCCGCAGTCTCTGTGCCAAGAGGGTGCCGCACAGGGTGAGGGCGGGGGTCCAGCCCTCGGAGCAGGGAGGGCACAGCACTGGGTCTACATGAGGTTGGAGGGGCTCCCGCTGGGGGGGGAGGCCCATTCGGGAGTCACTCTGGACCCCTGCTCTTCACCCTGAAATCTAAGTGCCGACAGCGGGCACTGGCTTTGGAGGCTCCGGGCCAGCGCCTTTTTTCCCAGGTGTTTATGTTGCTGAGGTTACTTTGGGAGCCAATCCTGTCTGCCTCCAAGCTCAGACAGAGGCCAGTGGGATGATGGAAATAAAATCTGTTGTTTACTGTGAAGGTTTAGAAAATAATGGATTTTCATCTATTTTTGTGTATCGATCATCTAATTTTAAGACATTCTGGTTGCCTAAGTAAGATGGTCAGTTTCCACCTAATTTGCTAAGAGAAGAAGCTGGTATTTATAGACACCTAATGGGGACACAGCAATCACCGAGGTGTCTTGTCCAAGGTCACGAGGCCAGTCACAAGCCAGCCCCTTTCTAAGGTCAACCTCTGCCTCCTCCAGGCAGCAGAGATGTGGGCAAACTCAGGACCCCAGGCAGCTGGGCAGAAGGTGCGTGAAAGGCTGTTCACCTACAAAAGGCTGGGGGGGCGGGGGCTTGGTGGTGACTGGCCTTGGGGCCCTGTGTGGCCCTAACTTCTGACACCTGGGCCAGTAATTCCTCCAGTGGCCACACATCCCACCCTCCCGGGTTCAGGGTGCGAGGGGGTGGGTCCCTGCCTAACCGTCTCCCAGCAGTACTTGCGGGTGGTGTGGCCTTGGGCAGCTTGCTCTTCAACCTCTGAGTGGCTGGCTGTCTCCTTATCAGTGAAACATGGCTAATAACAGCAGCTGCACATCACAGGCTTCTCGGAGAGTTCAGAGGGCAAGTACAGGAAACGCGCTTCAAATACTGCACGACGCAACGTCGGCGCCTTCAAAGTCAGCTGCCGTTATCAGTACGAGTCGCGTTACCATGTCGAACACATGAAAACAGGTTTGCAAAAAGCGTCTCTAGGCAAAGTAAAGCCCATCGAGGTGCAGACTTGCTGGGAAAGTTTCCAGGATAGAAATAGTCAGAGCATTGATATGAAAAAAATGAAAACCCATCAGTTAAGTCTCCCGAAGGCTTCTGCTAGCTGCCGCAGGGAATTCCCGTACAAAGGGCTACAGTGCACCTCTGTGCCAGGTGGAGACTGGGGTCTCGGCGGAGGGCTGCGCGAAAACGGGGCACGTTGACAGTAAGAGCCTTAAAATGGCCAGTCAGGGCACAAGGGACGTCACAGAGCCTTCCGGGGCAGACTGCCAAACGGGCCGTACAGACGACAATGCCCAGAATGCAAAAAAAGGTGAGAAATCAGCATGTATTTCATAGCTCTTCACATTAACTCTGATAAATGGACCAATTTTAGTTAATATAAACCTACCCCTCCTATTTATGTTTATTTACTTATTTTTAATTTTATTTATTTATTTTTAGACAGAAGGGAAGGGAGGGAGGAAGAGGGGGTAGCATCAACCAACATCAATGTGTGGTTGCCTCTCATGCGCCCCCTACTGGGGACCTGGCCTGCAACCCAGGCATGTGCCCTGCCTGGGAATCGAAAAGGCTACTGTTTGGTTTGCAGGCTAGTGCTCAATCCACTGAGCTACACCAGCCAGGCCATTTATAACAGTTCAAATGCAAAAAAAAAAAAAATCCATATACTTGTTCCTCAAAAAGCTAGAGAGTTACCACATGACCTGGCAGCCTCACTCTTAGGCACGTGCCCAAAGGAACCAAAAGCAGGGCTCAGACAGATACCCATGCGCCACCGTCCCGGCAGCATTATTCCCAACGGCCAAGACGTGAAAACTAAGCTATAGGTGAAATAACCAAAGAGCTCATCAACAGGTGAATACACAAAATGCGGTACATGGGGCACTTATTTAGCCATAAAAGTGAAGGAAGTGTGGATACACCCTACAGTGTGGACTGACCTTGAAATACTGTGCTAAGTGAAATAAGCCAGGCATAAAGGGTCAGAGAGCACATTATTCCAGTTGCATGAGGTACCTGGAATAAGCAAAGCCACAGACAGAGAGTAGGTCAGAGGTGGCTGGGGACGGGGGGAGGGAGGAATGTGGAGTTATTATGGCTCAGTGGGTACAGAGCCTGCTTGGGGTGACAGGAGAGTTCTGGAAATAAGGAACGTGCTTAATGTCATTGAAGTATATGCTTAAGAATAGTTAAGTGGCACATTCGTGTTGTGTTTTTTACCACAACTGTAAAATTTAATGTAAAATACCAAAACCATTGAATTATATGAATTACACACTTTCAGGGAGTGATTTGTAGGGTAGGGCATGTGAATTACATCTCGATTTTGAGAAGGCCCGTGTGCTTATTTGGAAACAGAATAGCACACAGGGCTGGCAGGGGTGGGCGTAGCCTGAGCTCTGGCAGGAGACTAGTAAGTGGGGCACCAGGAAAAGGGACGCCCACCGCCAGTCTGTGCGTAACCTCTGGGGTAGGAAGATGCTAATGAAGGGAACCCCCGCCCTTCCCCCACCCTGCCACACAGGGCCCCCAGGACCAGGGGAGATGGCAGCAGGCAGTGGCCTTGCAGCCCCCAGCTCTGGAACGGGTGAATTGGGGTGAATTGATTCGATAGCTCTGGTTTCGATCCCTTCTATTGTCAGGAATCTCTTTGCTCCACCTGAATATACTATGCAGATTAGCAAACAAATGGGAAGTTGCTAAATGAGGCACTTTAAAAACGAGCACACGTTTGACATTATTACTATGGATTCTTTAGGCTCATGTGTATCGATTCTGCTGGGATTCATTCCACTACAGTGTCTAATTATTACTGAGTGCTAATCAATCCCATTATGAATTGGTTAATGGAAGAGAGAGAGAGAGAGAGGGGAGTAGAATGAGAAATATTTGCTTAATGGCCTTGACAGAACATCATTTCTGAGTAAAGAACAAAGCCGCCAGAGTTCACAATTGCATTGTGTTGTCATGGCAATAGATGATTTTCATCATTTTAACATGGTGGAAAGAAATAAGGAGATAAGAAGACAAGACATCGGCCCCAGTGGAAAAAACACCACCTCGGGATAAGATGTCACAAACCTGTGACATCCCCCCACCGCCTGCCACCACCGGAGCTCTGTCTGGGACGTGGTTTTGCTTTCTATTGGCTACTCTCAGTCCATTCCATCCTTCCAGGCCAGGATCACGACTCTCCTCCACCCATCAACTTTCCATGACTTACTTCACTCCTTTGCTTCCTTGGTGCGTGCTCTCTGTGAAGAGCACCATTGTTCTGTGACCATGACACCGATTCCAAAATCTAGGCCACGTCTGCTGGATGCACGACGACCGTTCCAAGCACTTTCTCTGCCTGTCTCACCTCCTCCAACGCTCACAGCCAGACTGTGTGGAAGAGCGTTACAACTCTGACTTTCAGACTCTCCTAAGAATAATGAACTTCGGATGTGGAGAGCTCAGGCCACTTGCTTGTCCAAGGTTCCACAGCTAGTTAGGGGCAGAGGAGGATGAACCAAGAGCTAGCACACGCCCTCTTTTCTGGCCGAACAGTGTTCTACTGCACACAAGCGCCACATTTTCTGTGCCAGTTCATCCGACAGATGCTCCGCGTGTCTCCACTCTCAGCTGTAGTGCAAAATGCTGCAGCATGCGTGTGAGCGCAGGCACCCCCTTGAGGCCCCGATTTTAATCTTTGGGACAGATACTTGGGAGTGGGGTTGCTGGAGCTAGGACAGTTCTGTCTGTAATTTTCTGAGGAACTTCCGTCTTATTTCCCACAGTGGCTGCACCCGTCGGCACTCCCGCCAGCCGTGTACAAGTGCTCCACTGTCTGCACATCCTCATGACGCCTACCATTTCTTTCCCTGACAATCACCCCCCTGACGGGTGTGACAGGCTGGCTCACTGGGGTTCTGATTCGCACTTTCCTGGTCATTAGTGACACTGAACATTTTTCATGTAGCTGTTAGCCACTTAAAGATCTTCTTTTAAGAAATGTCTATTCAAAAAAAAAAAAAAGAAAAGAAAAGGAAGGAAGGAAGGAAGAAAGAAAGAAATGTCTACTCAAGTCATTAGCCTTTTTTTAAATCAGGTCATTAGATTTTTTTCGCGACCGAGTCATCTGGAGTCTGCCCTCACTCTTAAAGACTGCCCTCCACTATCTCTTCCACCCGCCCTCCTACCAGCAAGCACTGAGGACGTAAACCAAGGGAAGCTCCTCCTCCTCCGGTTCCTCCAGCAGATTCAGTGACAGGGGCCTTCCCCAGCACGGGGTTGCTCACGCTGACCGCTGTCCCAGCCCACGGAGATGAGAGCTGCAGGCC